ATATAAGTATGTCTCACAGCATACATCATTTGATGATCAAGTATCAATCCTGTAAGATACTAAGAACCAATGTTATTTAATAAATGAATAACAGAAGTCCAAGTATGTGCAGTACTTTCCCAAGGTCACATACTCAGAAAATAGCAGGAATAGAATAAACATCTCATATTTCTGATATGTACTTTAACCACTCTTTTAACCACTCTTTCTTTTAACCACTCTCCTCCAACCTGCTTTCTAAGATTACTGGTGACTTTTAAAAATGTTTATTTTAATGAGTATGTGATTTTTTTTATCAGAGCGATTCTGGTGTACAAGTAAATGTAGGGACAAACAGTAAGAAGGAGAAGAACATTCAACCCAGAGCATGAACAGGATAAACTGAAGAAACAACCCAGGACAGGTTAGAATAAAGGAAGGTGGTTAAATGCTCTTCAGGATTTGGAAGTCTATCTGCCTGGATGCTTGATTGGAACTAGTTTATCTTAGATAAGGCATTCCACTCAACTTAATTAAGTACTGTACCACAGTTCTATGACATCTTTAATGCAGAGTCTAGAAAAACTACTGGTCCTTTAATCTCTTGCAAGTTGAGGGTACAATCTGTGACTGGCTAGTCAGCATACCTCAAACATCGCAATTTCTTTTAAAGTCTTTCATTATTACAAAAGAAGTAGATATTATGGCTGCTGTATTCATCCTCTTCATAGTTGTTTAGTTTAGTTTTGTGACCTATATATACTGTTAAAAAGATACAGACTATTCTGCCTGAAAATATTGGTAATATGGAACAGTATGCCGTGTTTCATTTATTGTTTCTTCCAAGAAATTATTTCTATCCAACACTTTCTGTGCCAGAAACATCTCCTTTATAGTTTTATATCCTGTAGTGTTATCTCAGATGTTTTGAAAATATTAAATTTTTTTGCAGTCTGGTACACCTGCATCCGATATAAAATGATTTCCTCACTGGATAACCTTGGCTACATATGACTCAGAACAATTCTCCACATTTTTATGGGATTATCATAGTATTACATGGTTCTGATGCTACAGTGCTATTGCATTAAAATAATATTTCACCCAGATAGGATAAGGGATTATAAAATTTTTAAGGCAAGAATATTAAATTATTTTCCTAACCACTCTGGAATTGAATATTCTTATGAATTTATTGTTACTTGTATTTAGAATGTTTACCTGTTTTGTTTTGCTTAGTTTATCTCCAGTCTCACGTTTTGTGAAGGCATTTTAAACTTTTAATTATACAGAATTAACATACACATACTGTCTGATCAAGAATAGAGAAGGTTTTTATTTTTTAACCTAAAAATGTTTTGCAGTGCTCCTTGTTTGGTGTAGATATACATATTTCATAAGAGGAGAAATTCCCTGCTACTGCAAAGGTTTACTAAAGCAAAAACTCTACTTATCATTGAAACTACAGTGAAGACTCCTGACTCATGAAAGATTAGACAAAGGGCCTCCTGAGATTCCATGATTCTAAATTAAGTACCTTACAGAGGATACATCTCAAGAGGTGAACTGAGAAATTTTCAAGAAGACCAATAATAATTTTGTTATACTTTTCTATCTCATATTGGAAATGAAGTTAGATGTTGTGACAAGGCATTAGCCATGAACTCTGGAACCCTACAGAGTTGACTTTAAATAACAGTTGTGATTAATTATGTCATTTTTATTGATAAAATCAGATGAATGATATCTATATATATGGTTAATTGAAGGGTAGAGGGATATAACCTTTTTATTGTCAATACAATTATTTGCACAAAGTTCATGCACAACACAGAAACATCAATAGAAGATAAAATTTTTAAACAATCACATTAATGAAAATGTTTAAAAAGTTAAAAAATGTAATTGTGCCCTAGTTGTGCATAGAAATTACACATGTATAAAATATGTAAATCATTTTTACCATGTCAATAGTCATCCCTTTTAGTTATTACACCTTGATCAGTTAATATTTACTTGCTTATGATATACAACTCATTTATGTTGACATTCTCTGAAATCATTTTAAAATGAAATGTGCTTTTTTGCTGTTGATGTTTAGAAATTTTACCCTTTCGAGAAGCACCTTTGGATGGAGGATCTGAAGGAAGTGGGAGGCAGAGAAGGAAAACTGAAACCACTCACTGGAAGGAAGCTATTTAAAGAGTAGAGAAGGAGATGTTAGGATTTATATAAGGAAAATAGTAAGGATCAATTAAACACCAGATATCAAACATTAAGTGGAAAATTAAGAAAATTGGAAACCCAATAAAAATAATAAAACAATTATTGAATATTTTGTTAACATGAGGATTATGACCCTTGAAATGCTAATTTTAAATCCATTCCTCTTTGTATATTTGGATTGTGGAATCTTGCCAGAAAGGGGCTAGAGTTATCTGGTCAACCCCTTGGCCTACATCAGGATTGAATCCTCTCAAGGGCATGATTAATACAAGCCTCACAGAAGCTTGAGTGAATGAAACATTTGCCATGGTTGTAAACCACTTCAAGAATTACTTATTTGAGTAAAAAAGCTACTTAACCTCAATTTTGCAAATTACTATCAAGTAATGATTAGTTATTATTTACTAAGGCAGTGAGCAATGCATCTTTATTATATTTAAATGTTTTCAATTATTTTTATTAATTGTTGAAAATGACGGAGAAAATCTCTCCATACAGCAAATATCTAACATCCTCTACTAAAAGAAGTGAATTCTACTCAACCAGAATATAAACTTAGAGTCATATCCTAGTCTCCAAAATTAATTTCACTCAGATAAAGTCACTCAATGTTAATCAAAAAATTTGTTTTCTCTGAGCCCCCACTTTATGAAGTTTCTTGAGTAGTCTTTCACAATACCCACTGTCTATTATACCACTTGTGTTCTATTCTGTCTTTCCCTTGCTTTGTACCTGAAGCTTGTAGATTTGAAAACAAAAATAAGAAAATAATTCCAGCTTTCCTTTCCCTTTGCCACTGAAGACGGAAGGACATGCCTGCTAAGTTTCTTCCTTTGGCTCAATGAGGAGCATTCTGCAAGTCGAAGTACATCTCTTCATTATGCAATGCAAAATTATGGGGGAAGTGGAAGGAAGAGATCGCACTAGAGGCTAGAAGGGTAGGAAGACATTTTTCTGGAAATGTGGTAGATGGTATGCCACGGCACACATGCAAGCATGCCGCTTGTTGTCATTGAAAGATCTAAAAGGTTCACCACCACTGTGTTAGGTATGATGCTAGGTCTGTTAGAGGTGGCTAGAAGTATAAGTATTACAACAAATCTTGTATGTTCCCATGAAGTTTTAGGCGGGCATGTAATTCATTCCCCCCCCATTTACTTTTTCCTTTTTAATACTTAAGCTTTAGTTTTACACTTCTTTTTTGCTGTACAAATTAGAATGTACATGTTTTGAGGCATATGTATGTGTATATATACATATGTTTATATGAGCAATACAGGAGAACATTTTAATATGTATATCCAAATTCCTCATAGGTACTGTTTTTGTGTGGTGAAAGCGCCCTTAAACATTTTTTCTTAGGAAAATTTCTGCACATAGTATAACTTACTCCTCATGCAGTACTTTCAATCTCTAGATTTATTAACCCTACACAATTACAAATTTTAATCCACTGGTTTAAGTCTCCCCTTTCCCGCCTTCACAACACCTTTGGTAATCACCATTCTACTCTCTGTTTCTATGTATTCAACTTTTTTTACTTTTATTTTTTAGATTTCACTTCTAAAACACATCATATATTATTTCTCTATATCTGGCTTATTTCATTTAGTGTAATGTTCGTTAATTGAGGCCTCTCCTCTCAAATGACAAGTTCTCATTTTTTTCATTAAATTTATTTGTACTTTTTAAGTATACAATACATTTGCATTCATAATTGGGAACTTGAACCTTTACATAATCTATCTTGGTTCTTACATTTTCCCCACTTCCCTACCCTCCCTTCACCCCCTCCACTCTTCCCTATTTACAAAGACTTTGTTTCCATTTTTTCCTTTCCTCACATGTAAATACCAAATAGTTCCTCTGGTGTAAAAAGCTAAAAGTGTAAATAAGGTTCAAATTGTATAATTAATAATGTGAAACAGGAAGAAAAGGGAAAAAGCTCTCATTTTTAAAAGCTGAATAATATTCCATTGTGTGTGTGTATAACAAAATGTGTTCAATTATAAAAACACTGCAGTTATGAAGTGCAGATATCTCTACAAGGCGTTATTTTAATTTTCCTTGTATATAAACCCCAAATTAATTTATTTTGACATTTCCTCATAAAAAATAGTCTTGGTTTTTTATTGAGTAGGGCAAGGCTAAAAACTAATTGACTATATTAGTTACACAACGATTACTTTTTACTATCAGTTTATTGAATACCCATTATGAATATGGGAGAAGTAATAGCAGTTGGCAGGGAAGATTCATAGCAGAAAGCTGTTGTACTGGAACAGCAGCCAAAAGAGAACCAAAGCTGTCTAGGAACAAAAATATAAGTTTAAATGTATAAATTCATAAGAAATGATGCAGGCTATAAACAACCATACAAAAAATTGTAGAAATAAGAGTGGAGGTCAAGCAGAGAATGAGTGGGACATTGTAGGTGCATCGTTTTAGGCACAGAAAATGAAGAGAAATGTAAACAATGAAAGTGACTATTTTCAGGAGAGACCGCCCAAAGCAGCCCTCACCCCCATTTTCAGTTTCGAGAATGTCCATCTGTTTGGTAATACTTTCATAATGGTGATTAGAAATTCAAAGTGAACCATAGGCTGAATGGCATAGGTCTGTTTAGATCCACTGAGGGGTGAAGGGTAGGCTGCGAAACAGATTAAGAAGGAATTTGTGTTGTGAACACAACAGAAAGGTCATGAATAATTTTTGAGTTAAAAATAAAAAGGCCAAATTGTATCTCTAAGTTCAACTGAGCTCTAGGGTATGGCATACCATTTTCTTTGGCCACTGACTCGGGTCTTATTGGCACTTGTAATAAATCATGAGATTGCACGTCCGTGAAGTTCTGCCTCACCTTCTGGCTGGCTTCTCTGCCACAAGCAACACCCAAGAAGTCGGAAATGGAGAAATCTCTCTCTTCTGTGGCCTTTAAAATAGGCTGGGATGAGAAAAACAGTTGGACTTTGACCTTTCTGTCACCTAAAAGGGCAATCAGAGTGGAAACAGAGCATGAGCACTGTATCCCAAGCCCTTGACATATACAGTCTCCTTTAACACCTGCAGCAAGCAAATGTACTGTGAGTTATATTTCACGGATACAGAAACTGTGACTCAGTTATGTGTTGCAAACCACTAAGGTAGTTTGCTTTCAGGCCAGAATTGAACCAAGTACAACACAGTGCTCTCTTTTTAATTTTAAATTTCATATCACATTGTGTCTTTTCAACCTGCTTTCCTTTTTTGCTAATTGCTTGTCCAGCTATAAGTATGTGTCTCCCTAGACTATATTTTTTAAAATCAAAACTATGTAAAAAATAAGGTCAGTAGTATCATATTTCCAATAATATACCTTGGGCTACCTCACTGAAAGGAAGTCTAAATCATTGGTTGATACAAAACAAATTAACCTATTTATCATATTTTTGTCCTCAATTCAAATAGCCAGAAAGTTTCACCACTCATTTTTTTCTCCAAGATTGTAATGCTATTAATGAAGATCCTAAATTATTGCTAGTTTTCTAAGAGACTTCAAAGGTATTAAAGAAATATTAAAATTCTTTAAATAGTATGCATAGTATGTATATTTCATTTCATTATAATACCTGAAACAATTTTCAACTTCCTTATGGTGCATGTTGTTATTCTCAGTCAATTCCCTGATTGTGACTTATAAATGAAAGTTTAATAGAATTCTCTTTATTCAAAGCTCTAAGGTCATTGGGCTTTTACATTGCCTTTCTGTACTAACATGTTCACTTTCGAAGCCCAAGAAATTATTGGCAGTGAGAAGAGAAACAATATTCCAGGGTTGTAAAGTTTCCAAATATAAATTGAAGTAGAATCTGTATAAATATTTAAATGCTCCTTGGCCTATTATTATCCTTGTGTTCATAGTATGAGATTCATCTATGAGAGGAATCAAAGGCTGAATTTAAATTCTCTATCAAGATAATTACCCATTGCATGTAATTTTGAGGGTAAGTTATTAAAGAAACCAGGGTCATCTTGTAGAAGACAGACATTAGCTAAAATCAAGGAATGACCCTTCCTGTCATATCTTAAGATTAATTTCTTTCTCTTGTGGTCTTTGTGCTTGCTTTCTTACTGAATTAACCAACAATTTTCCACACTGCTTCTCTACTGAGACTTGATGCCTATTTACATACAGTCTGTTACTACAAAAAGTTATGTGACCATGATTCCAAAATAAAACTGCTGGATAATATGAATATACCAGTATTCTCTGGTGATATTGTGAAAAGATTGAGTGGGTTTGAACTCATAGGCTTTTAAAGAATTTCAAATCTGTTCTACTCTGGGATGCTGCCTGCCGGCTCCAATTTCTCTACTTTCCAGGACTAATCTCGTTTTAAGGAAGGGCATTAACTTACCAAAAAGGAAACGGTATGCTTGTGATGACAAATGAACACGACTCTTTTCTTCTAGTTGATAGAAGAGCACTTGTTCTGTCTAAATTGTGTATTCTTTTATAAACAGACTCTCCAGCCCTCCAGCTAGAGGAATCAATGCCTGTGCAGATGGTGCCAGACCTTTGTTCTGAAATGCATGCTCTTGATTTATATTAAAGTTTTGATATTTAACCTTCTGTCTAAACCTTAAATCAAGGCCCTAGGGCAAGGACAAATGTCTTCATCTTTTTAAATTTAAAAATTTGTTTCGAACTACAGCAGAGAAATTAAACTCCCCGAATGATTTCAGTCTGTGAGCATAAAAATAGCCCTCTAGCATAGTATGCATTTATAACGAGAGTCATAATCTAAGGATCAGTCTCTCAAAATGAGAATGAGAATCAGAAGGAATTACAAGGAAAAAGTTCTGTCTGCAAAAAGACATATATAAAGCCTTATGAATGTAAAATCCAAGCCAACCCAGTTAAATTCAGGCTTATTTAAATACATCTTTGTACTTAGTCCTCCAACACACATACAAATATACACATAAAAAATACAATGCAACCTAAAATTATGCTATTTAGATTTTTTAAAAGTAATTATAGGATTTAACTCATATAGCAGCTAGGGAAATTATCACAGGTTGTAGCTACTGCCACCATTAGAATTGGTTTCAATTCAGCCTTTAATGAGATCAGCAATTTCTATTCATTTTCATGGGTACCTACTCCTGTAATGAAAAGGATTAATTTGAAGTCCTAGAAATGCATCACCTAGCTCATGTTGGAGGGTAGCTAGTCTATGGGCCATAAATATAAATTCTTCAAATACTAGGTTGACTATTTCATTAAAACTGATGACGTTTTAGTATTTCATATGCAGAGCCATGCAAAGGTTGTGTAAAGCAGGATTTTAATATAGAAGGTACTTGAAGAGGAAAAGATGTCATGGAAAGGTGATCATTCGTTACCCAGAGATGCACTAGTGGGGGTGAAGGAATGCTTCTTTTGTCAAGCAAGCGCAAAAGCATTTCTGAATCTCACATCCGAAAGAGAATGAAAAGACAGGAAAAGGAGCATTTTTGCCATGGTTACTCCTTAAAGGCAATGATACAAATGTATCCTATCTTACACTATTTAAAAAGCACAATGTTTAGAGAGTAGGGTTAGTGATATTGAAGAAAGCGATGTACACATTATGGATGGAGCCACTCCCTGGCTCCCTCTGAGCTGCCCCTGATCCAGTGACTATTTCCCACTCCTCCTTCTCCATCTGCATAACTAGTGCCATTCGGATTTGGCACTGTTGACAATGGCAGGTGAGTGCCATGCTAAATATGAGGGGCAGTAAAACTGACAGCAGCTCCACAAAGCAAAGTCTACTCCATTCCCTGAACACTGACTCGTGAATGACACTTCTTGTGTAATGTAAGTGATGCACATATAATGATCAAGCAAGTAATTTAGTTCCAATTTGATGAATTCACTGAGGAGAAAAAAAAAAAGACAGCCAATTTGTTTTCATATGAAAATGGGGCAACTGGTGCAAAGGTGTTTTACATTCTAATTAGGAAACTTATGGACTTAGGTTTACCTGATTTCTATTTTCTGATGAGTTGATTCAGATTTTGAGAGCTGAGCATTCAAAATGTTTAAAATACCAAAAATTTTTTGTGAAAATGATATTCCACCTAATTTTTAAGGTGAAAACATGTAGAAAATGATTAATCATATATTTATTTGAAAATTATCTCTAGAAGGTTTTTTGAATCTTAACATAATACTCATCAGCTTGTAAGTGAATAATAATATATAATGATTATTGGATTTGCCACAGTAGCCCTGTTTTTGGACCAGTATTCTCCCTGAAAACTCTAAACCAATGACAAGAGAAGTCACCAATAATGGTGCCCTGGACAGTAATCAGCCACAATGTACTGAGCCCATTAAGGTAAGGGGCTACTGTTCTCCCTGATACCAGACAGGTAAACAGGGGCATTGATAATTACTGTTTGAATATTTCTGTTGTACTGAATAGAGGTAGAGGGTTTATCTCAAATATTTGTAAGATACTTGTCACTTAGATATATAATACTCCAAAAAGGCAAAGGGAGAGTATACAAGACAGTTTTTTAAAAAAAGAAGTATCTTTGAGGCCATTGCGCTAAACCATGGTGGGTAGGGGTGAAGCCAAGGCTGAGAAGCTCTGTGTTCCTAAATGAATGTGTTTATTATGTAAAACGAAAACAGCATGTTGATTCAATGAGAAGGGAACAAAAAGATTTCTATATGAGAGGTGAAACTACTAAGGCTGTTGTCACTTCCAAGTTTTCAAATGACTGTTTTATTAGTATAATGGTAATTAAAGCTAACAATGACAAAATATTATATAGATAGGAAGAATGCTCATGTTTTCTTAAACATCCATCTTGGCTTCTAAGAGAAAATATTTATTCTACCTTTTTGCTAAATACATTCCATTTGACTATTGACAATGAAGATTTAGAATCGTTAGAATGATGAATCCATGAAATTCACCTAATCCAACTCTGTTAGTCGAAATATTAGATCTAGAGGTTAGAGAATGGTACAATGGTAATATCTAAATGTAAGTTCTACACTAATTCACAACTTTTTCCCATGATATACAGTGCAACAAATAAACAAAACTTTCTCGATTTATGATTTTTACATATGTAAGCATTAGCCTTTTCTGAATTCATGTTCCAATTGTAAGAGAGGGAGAGGTCTCTACCTTCCTTGAATTCTTATGTGGGCTTCCTTATTGGCTGGATGGAGGAATATAATTAATACAACTTGATTAATAAGCGAACAGTATCACTACATATACACGGTGTTATGGTTTGTATGCAGATATGCCCCAAAGTTTCATGAGCTTATAGGTGGGGCTCTTGGGAAATGGCTCAATCATGCCTATGGGATACTAGATTAGGGTGTGTGGGATTAAGGGTGTACGATAACCAATTGGTTTAACATAGCTCTGAGTGTGAATAATGTAAGCTCCATCCTGGCTGTGGGTGGCACCAATCAATATGGTTGGATCCTGGATGAAATATAAAGGGACAGAAACAAAGCAAGCCTGCTGCTGCTTCTGCAGCTGCTTGCTGCTTGCTCCCTCCTACCTTCTCTGCCATGGACTGTTTCCCTTCTGAGAAGCCCCTCTGCCATGCTGTCCTGCGTTGGAGCCAGACAACTATAGATTGAAACCTCTATAAAATGTCAGCCAAAATAAACCTTCCCTTTTTTAACTTGTGTGTGTGGTGGGGGTGGTATTTTGTTTCGGTAGCAAGAAAAATAACTAAGACACATGGGGATCTACAAAGAGAATTAAGTCTAAAGATAAAAGCAAATAACAATGATTTTATACTTTTTGGAAGATAACAATGAATTTGTGAAGAAATGACATGACAAATGGTATCAAGACTAAGGTAGTACATTCTAGGAATGTTACTATGAGGAGGAGGAAGGTTAGAATTTAGAGGATTATAAGGACTAGTTCCGTTTGTCTTCTCAGGTTTACTGCAGCACCAGTGATGAAGATTATTTT